AGTTTTATAATTGAATTTGTTTGGTGGTTTAAGCAGCCTGGATAGTTTTATAACTGAATCTGTCTGGTGGTTCAAGCAGTTTTTAGACTGTTTAATCTGTTTGAAATTCAATCTGTCCAGGTGCAACAGATTAAGACCTGTTTGGACTGTCTAACAAATTTGAAACTGATTAAATCAGTTCAGCAATTACAGTAGGAAATTCGGATTGAAGGAGGCATAACATTTGGACAAGAATTTGAATTCAAATTTTGGAAAAGATTCAAATAAATTAATATTAGAACCGACCCACCACCCACACCCGCGCCCGCCACGGCTCAGACAAACAGCGGCGGTGGCGCGCGTGCGTGTGTGGTGGTTTGGGCTAAGGTTCACTTTGTCCATAACTCCTCCCTTCTACAAACTTGGGGTGCCCCTTAAGGTCCAACCCAAGTGTTGCAGTCTAGAGTTTATATCCATATACAAACTCTCTTAAAGTTTCAATGTGGGACTAGCTTTACAAAGAAACCCACATTTAAAACTTTAAATTGTCCATTCTACGAACTCGAAAACGACGTCAACTTCCCATTCACTCATAAATGGTTTTGACAAACCGTCCTCACCGTGTGACTTGCCACGCGGCAAGGAACACTTCACCTCTTCGGATCCACCCCAAAAGACGTTTGGGGCCCACTCAATTTTTGGCTCAAAGTTGGCCCAAAATAAGCCATATAAAAACAAAATTTCTAACAATCATATATATATATAAATGTTAGGGTTTACTGAGAGAGAAAAACAGAAGGATATACACACCAATTATTATGGAGAGGCCGGTGATGACGAGAAGCCATGCTCATCGGCGAATCGCACGAAGATGAGTTGCATGAAGGTGGGGTGGGGAGAACTCAAGAAAATGATGGATTGCACGAAGAAAGGCATTAGAGTTGAACGTAAAAAGAGAGAGAGGGAAAACGAAATCAGAGAGATAGGGTTTTGTGGGAAATTTGAACATTGGGAAATTTGGGAGGGAGTTAAAAAATTGAGATCCTAGTTGATTTTCTTTTGAAAAAAGTATTTTTGAATTTTTAAAAATTGTTTGGTTTCAATTTTTTGGATTCAATGTTTTGAAAATTGAGTTTTTTATTTTTCGTATTTTTTAAATTTTTATTAAATTTTTAAAATTTTAAGCAATTTTTATTTTTTATATTTTTAGATACACCTTACTTAGATGTATCTAAAAAGTAAAGGTTGCGTTTGGTAGAGTTTTCTAACTATGTTTTGAGAATATGAGTTGTATTTTGAGTTTATGAGTTTTGAAAAGAGTTTTGAATTAAGTGAGAAATTTTTGATGTGACATATAATATTTGATACAAAAACTTACAACTCATAACTAAACACACAATTTAAAAATTTATGAAAAGCTTATAAAAAAATTTTAAAAATTGCAAAAATATTGTTTTATTAAAAAAAAAAATAGTGCCAATTGCAAAAATAAAAAATAAAAAATCGCACTATTTAGGATGTCCGGCAGGTCAACTAGTGGGACGACCGGTTAAGCCAAATTAAAAAAAAAAAGAAATCTCGCCTGACACAAAATGTTTTCTGCAGAGTTTTCTGTTTAGTGTGGAAATATAATTTGAAAATCCTATCCAAACATAGTATTAAAATATGTGGGTAGAATTATAATTTGAAAATACAACCAAGCAAAGCCAAAATATTTGCCTAAAAAAATTTAAAAAATCAATAAATGCACAAGAATAGAAAAAATGTACTAAATTTTCATATATATATATAGAATTTAGTGAATTTTATATTAAAAAAATTTCACAAATATTATATTTTTAAAGTGTATTTATGTGTGGTGTATTTAAAAATTTAAAAAAAATGCTTAGAATATTAAAAAAAATTAGTGAAAACATAAAAAACAAACACACACACATAAAATAAAAAATTTCAATTTTCTGAAAAATAAATACTGAAAATCTAAACCAAATAAGCTGATCATATCCTTTGTATGGTAGTTTTGATTTTTTAAATTTTTTCACGAAACTAATTTTTAGTCTTTAAAAAATAAATTTGAATCAAGTTCAGAAAATCAAACCAAACCTAGCCACCACCTCAACTTTGAAAAGAGTTTCGATTCTCTTAATTTGGTTACATCAACTTTGGGTTTTGTGGGCTCATTTTGAAACTGATTTCGGCGATCCGAACCATTCACTCGTGTTACAATTTATTGACCAGAAGAGGGGAGGGAGAGAGTAAGAAAGAGACAAAGTGGTCATTAAAAGTGCATGTTCTTGCAATGGATCGATAAATCAAGAGGGAGCTCGGTAAATAGAGAAGAGGGAAAAGAGAGAGTGAGCAAGGCGAACACAGTAGGAGAGAAACAGACAAACATACAGGCAAACAGAGAGAGACAGAGAGATGAGTGATGAATGAGAGAGAGAGAAAGAGATAGAGATAAAGAGAGAGAGAGACAGAAAAAGAGAGAGAAACAAGAGATGCGCGAGAGATAGACAAAGAGAGAGAGAGAAAGAGAGCGAAAAGTGATGAACGAGAGAGAGACATAGAAAAAGAGAGAAACAGAGAGAGAAGAAAGATGAGAGAGAGAGAGAGAGAGAGAGAGAGAAAAGAGAGATGATCGAGACATACAAAGAGAGAAGAGAGATGGGAGAGATAGAGAGAAGAGAGATGGGCGAGAGAGATAGAGAGAAGAGAGATGAACGAGAGAGACAAAGAGAAAAGAGAGATAGAGAGAAGAGAGATGAGCGAGACAGAGACAGAGACAGAGACAGAAACAGAGAGACAGGAAGATGAAAAAATGGGTGAAAAGAGAAATGTTATATCAAAAGAGTAAGACGACATCGTTTTTTTTAATTTTTTTTTGTGACAGAAAAATACCGTTGCATTTATTCAAACCATTTTGTGACTGTATGTAAATGAAGCCGTCTCAAAGCCACAATCGCTTTACTTGGTTTGAGTTTTCTAAAAATACTTTTCAGAAAATTCTACTTTCTTATTTTCTGTATTTTTTTGTTTTTACTGATTTTTTTAATATTTTAAGCAATTTTTTTAATTTTTAGACACACTTAACATAAATACACTTAAACAGTATAATTTTTGTGAATTTTTTTAACAAAATTTACTAAATACCAAAAATACAAAAAAGAATACAAAAATTCAGTACATTTTCATATTTTTGTGTATTTATTAATTTTTAAAAATAGTTTTTCACAGATATTTTTCTTTTTAGACACATCTAAGTAAGATGCATATAAAAAAGTAAAAAAACTCAATTTCTTTTTAGACACATCTAAGTAAGATGCATATAAAAAAGTAAAAAAACTCAATTTTTAAAAAATTTAATTCAAGTGAATATTATTTTTTTTTTTACTTTTTTTTTTTGGCAATGGTATATATTACAGTCGCAAAGAACTCACTTTTTTTTTTTTTTGCGACTGTAGCTGGTGCTGTCTCAAAAACTCTATTTTTTCGCGACAGCAATCTCTGCCGTTGCAAATACTCTTATTTTTTGAGACAGCAATTTCTGCCGTCGCAAATACTCTCCTTTTTATGGACAACATTTTCTGCCGTCGCAAAAAGTCACATTTTTTCGCGACAGCAAATAATGCCGTCGCAAAAAAGTCACATTTTTTGCGACGACAAGTTGTGCCGTTGCAAAAAGTCGCTTTTTAAGACGGCAAGTGTGCCGTCGCAAATGCTTCCGTTTTTTAAGCCCACTTTTCTTGTAGTGATTATAGCATGGTGATATCAAATTGAAGATATATAACTTGCATTATTTATACACCAATATATTAATATTAGATGGTTGAAATTAAATATGTGAAATTTAGTAAAAAATTTAATTATAAGAAATGTGGCTATTGTTTTTAATTAAATTAAGGACAATATTAATTTTTCACCATTAATCTCATGAGATTGAATTTTTAATGACATATAAGGAGATTAAATTACTACTAACGAGGTAGGTCCCATATATATGCCATATTTGTTGATTAATTGTCTATCGAATTGTTAGTTCAGCGGACTACTAATTACATCCAGGAGCAGGACTGTCAATCCCCTAGGGGTTGAGATTCACAATCAAATCTCATAGATTGGGGTAAAATTATTAATTTAATCCCAATTTTATAAAAATAACAAAAACAACCTCCTATATATTTAGAATTTTTACTTAAATTTATAGATTTGAAAAAAAAAAAAAAGGTAGAGGACTTACGTGTAAGTTTTAATAGGTAGACTTATTATCCAATAGATCCTTTGAGCATTAATGACATTTTTCATTAAACATTATTAAAAAATGTTACTAATTATTAATTTTCAGCGAATTATGAAAATCTTTTCACAAAAAATATCACTAATTATAAGTTTTAGCGATAATTTAAAAAAATCGTCATAAAAAAAAGTTTCTAAATTTCAACTTTTAACGATAGTTTGAAAATTTTGTCACAAAAAAATGTTACTAATTGTAAATTTTAGAGATAATTTACTAAAATCGTGACAAAATAAAGTTACTAATTGTCAATTTTTAGCGACATATGTAAAAAATCGTTATAAAAAATTATTTTTAACGACAATTTTATTATGACTTATTTACAATAGGACTTGATGAAAATTAAATCTAACTATTAGGATTTATTGATAATTTACAATGACTACACAAATAAATATATTTTATTTTATATTTCCAATCTAACAATCACTCTCAATCCTATTATATTCATAATTTCACCAATCTAGTCCATTAAACAAATAACGTGGGTGTTTGGGAAGTGGGTTTTTTTGAGATTTTTTGGTGGTTTGACTAATTTAGTAGGGTATTTTAGTTTGTGTATTTGGGAAGATGTGATGGATTTTATAGGGTGACTCTATTTACACACCTCAATTACTCTTAATTCACACCATTATTCATAATTTTTTAATTACAATTTTATCCTTCAATTAAATATCCAAATTGCCCTCATCTCTAATCCATCTCCTTCATTCACAAACCCTAACCTAACCTATTGACAACCACTGCAGGCTCCTACCACCGCAACCACTGCAGGCTCTTGAACTTCATTGTTGTTATTGCACCTAATCTCAAAGCTTCCTAGGAATGATGATGGGTCAACAGTAGTAGAAGTTGCACCGATTTGCGCAGCTTTCTGCAATAAAGCTGTCGCAGACATAGTTGCCGATGAAGATGTTTGATGTGAATGGTGTTAGGTGCTATACAAGGAAGGAACACTAACAAGTGATAAAGAGCTTGTTATTTCTTCTGTATTGATGGAAGAAAGCTTGTTTTCAAACACCCAATTCAACTGATAATCGGATGGTGGAGGAATCGAACATGGAACAAATGGATCACCATAAACTGGGAAAACATCTCAGCTACACAATCAAGAAAAGTAACAAAAGGAATTATACATGCCTAAGACATTGATTAGCAGATGGTTAGGGTTAGGGTTAATTGGAGAAGAAGAGGGTAATTTGGTATCATTCAAAAATTAGTGGTGTGTATTGAGATAAAATTAAAAGTTTTAATTTGTGTATGGTGTGAATTGAGTAAGTGGTGTGTATTGAAAGGATTTGTGGTGTGTAAATAGAGGCACCCATTTTATAGGGATTATTGTATTGGAAAATATGTTTGAAATGATAGTAGAATGTAACTTGACCAAATTGCCCATATTGATATTTATAAGAAATTAGTGTTAATGTCCACGTGGCCACCTTTGCAATCTCTCCGACGCAGGGTGCAAACAATTGTTTACAAAATTAATTAAAATGAATTAATTAATTAAGTTGCTGTTAGTTTCACATATTAAAATTAATTAAAATTTTTATTTAATTGAAAATTCTATCTATTTCTCCAAAAAATTAAAAACATTTGTTTGGAAACATTTATTTTAATTTTCACATATAAAAATTAATTAAAATTTTGTTTGGTTTGGTGAATTTGCGAAAAAAATAAATAAAAATCACTTTTTATCTTCTATACATCAATCAATCACTTTTTCTCGCTCCTCTCTCATTCTCAATCATTTTTTCTTTCATACACATCTATTCAACTGCAACAAAATTATTTTCACAACTCCTGTACTCCAAAATTAGTTCGAAAATATACAACCAAACAAACCAAATAAATTTCTAAACTCTTTTCCCATAATTTATTTTCAAAATTTATCTCTCAAAACCAAACCAAACAAGTCCTAAGTTTTTATTCGAATATTTTTTTGTTCCAAAATATTTGTATATTTTTAAAAATTAATGGAAAAAATACTACGAATTTTCTATTTTGATTTATCTTTGAAATTCATTACTACTACAAAATATACAATGACGATAATTGATATGAAAAAAGAAAAGAAAAGAATGAAAGGGGAAATGGTGAAGTTCAGATAATTTAGTTAAGTAAGAAAAGAAAATTTTACAGAAATAGACAAATGTGGTTACCAAATTTGGCGTTTACTCATACAAAAAAAAAATTACAAAAGCAATCTACATTTAAATAGTAAATGACAACATGTAGTACTTAAAAAAAATTTAAATTTGCAACACACTTGTATTGTCCTTACACGAATTACAAATTTAAATAATTTTCTTAGTCACATTGCAATGTGGAAATAGAAATTACAAATTACACAAACTAAAATTAGATAACAAGCATTTCACAATAGTCCTTGATTCCGTATGTGAAACAAATGGTCACGGATGTGCACGCGAACTCTGGCCATATCTACATCCGTATCCCCAACCATAAGGCCATAATTCATATTTTGTCCTCCTTCCGCGGCGGGCATGTCATTTGAAACTGAGGAACAACTGACATGTTCGTTGTGTGCATTAGCAGCTATCTCGTGCCTACGGGTGAAATTATGTAAGGCCATTGACGCACCAACCAATGGCACCTGCACCGTCGCAAAATCATAGTCGGGCATGTCGTTCAGGAACTTCGAGCACGATTTCCACACTCCAAATGTTCTTTCCACCACGCTCCTCAATGATGCGTGCGCCTCGTTAAACAATTCTCTTGGGTTATCGGGTCGTCCACGATCCCGGAACTATGCTTGGTGATACTGAGACCCTTTGTATGTTGCCAAATACCCCTTCTTGTTTGAATATTCCGCATCCACAAGGTAATATTTACCTACATTTGCTTAATCAATTTAAGATTTTCAACAAAATTAATAATGAGTACTTAATTTCAAATGTGTTACCTTCTTGGGGGTACGGGAATGGTGCATGTTCGTTCTCAATTATTTCATTGAAGATGCGACTGTCATGCATGCTTCCTTCTCAACCACAAGATATGAAAATGAAGCAAATGTTGAAGTCGCATACTGCTAGTATGTTTTGGGTTGGATATCCTTTACGACCGTAATATGTGCCGGCATCACGGGCAGGCAACACGGCTTCTACATGAGTATCGTCTAACGCTCCAATACAATGCTGCACTAATAACGTACAACACATGAGGTTTACATACATCACATTAAATGAAAAGTAACTGATAACGGCAACTAATATGCTAACCTTGAAAGGCACGTATTTCCCTTTGGATCGCAAATATGGATGCCTATTATTTTGATCTCTAGTGGGCTTATAATGCACTTCTGTGAACAACTTCATTGCTTCTAACACTGCATGGAAATGTCGCGACACAGTTTCTCCCGAGTGTTGGAATCATTCCTGAATTTTTCGATTAGTGCAGCCGTCCAACGTATGGATGAACATCGCAACACTTTCTTCAATGTGTAATCCGTGGGGTCTTGTAGGTACCCGTAAACCAAAGTCGCTTCGCAATGTGTCACACAACGCTTGAAACACATACAGTGGCATATGCAAATTTTGTTCACCCCTGTCTACGTGCCTATCAAATAATTCTTAAATCCAGGCACGACCGATTATAATAGAAGTTCGGCATGGGATATTCTCCATGTACTTCAGGTAATATTCCATTGCATGTTGCGTAGCATCACCGATTACGCTATTTTGTAGGTCTTCTTCTTCTTCAACGAGTTCGATGATTACATTATCGTAATTTCCATAGTTGCTACTTTCACATTTCCACATTATTTGTTGATGACTCCTATAATGCACACAACACACACACATCAATTATCCACTTGTAAACTAAGCACATTTGAATCATTAAAGTTGAACACATCAACTATCCATTACATTGGCCCCATTTGGTGTAGCTGTTAAAATAGATTATAGATTATAGCTTAACAGATTATAGATTATGACTTTAATCAGAATCTGTTTGGTGTAGCTGTTAGATTATAGATTTAAGTTGCTGAGTAGTGTTTGTTAAATAAACTGTGGAGTAGTTTTTTCAATTAACTTTTATTTTTTATTATTCACTACTTATCTACATTTCTCATAAAAAGTAGTAATAATATTCTATAGTCCATTTGAGTCTTTTTCTATTTTTTAAAAAATAAAAAATAAAAAAATCTAAGAGTATAATCGTAAATTAACATGTCCACAGCAGAAACTGATAATCAGAAGCAAGGGGTGAGCAGCTTCTCAGAATCAGCTTTTTTGACTTAAAATAAGTTGTTAGAATCAGAAGCTATTTGAAAGAAGTTTAACCAAACAGTCCAAAATACCTTTTCAAAAGCCAGAAGCTATAAGTTAGCTTAGAAAAGCCCAAACAAACACCATCATTACATTCAACCATTAAAGTGAATAATGGCAAAAAAGTAAAGGTTACACCATGATCCCATATTGCGTAACACAAAAGTAGGTACCGTTCACAAAAGTAAAGTAACAGTAACTACAGCGCAGTGCAACCACAAAAAAAAAAAGAAAAAGAAAAAAAAAGATACCCACAGAACTAGTCCACAAAAACCACACTATAACAAACCATTTCCGATCCCATTTTTGCGTACAAGACCAAACCCAAGTACTCACAGCCCTTTCGAAGCCTACAATGTCGCAAGCTAACCGACTACATTCTCATCATCTGGCATGTACATCAATATTTCCTGATAATCCGCGTTCTCCAACGCAATGCAGACGAAATGGAACAGGGGGTACTGATGAAGTCCGGGATAGCCATAAGCCGCTGCATACATGGCTCAATTCCATACTTCTGTGATGCACCAGTTCCGTGCCTGATCGTTAGGTGCTTCTGTGCTTGAACCGCCTTAGACAGATGGTTAAAACTATCCGCAAGCATCGATGCTCCACTAGAGATCTTCTTCGACTTTCCACTAGTGCTACCTTCCTTTTTCCTTTTTGTCTCGGGGTCTGCTTCTTCAAGATGGACGGTGGGGGAGTTTGGAGGTGAGTTAACGACCGGTCTGTATGGCTCAGTAAATGGTACTAACCCAGGAGAGTCCACTGAGTAGGATTCACCATCGCCAACATCCACAACCTTCTCTCCCGGTGTCCAATGGTGTTTGCCAGTCGCAGTTGCACTGGTGAATACTTCGCGCATCAACTCTTCATGTTTCAATGGTTTCGTCTTGAATTTGTAAGCGATCTTGTTTGTCTGCAAATCAAAAATCAAATTAGAATTTAATTTTTTCGTCTCAGTGACATGGAACAATCAACGAACAAGTTACTTTCCATTACATGTGTGTACAAAATTAAAGGGGCCAGTTTCATATAAGTTAAATGTAGTTACTTTTTTATGTTGTACAGTGTTCAAAATTGTAGTTATTTTGGATTGAAAGGTTTTGAAATGAACATAACTTACATATGTGAAAAGTTTACAACCAATAATGAATAGTAACAAGTACAAGATGCCATTAAACTTTCAGGACATATTACATAAAATAAAATATATGTTGGTATATACCGATTTAAGATTTTCCCACCACTCTTCCGACGCCGTGAACAACCCGGTTTCCCTGTCAAACCCAATGCTTGTCACACCCTTACTACTATCCATCAACTTGTTCCAAGCCTGCCATTCCTTTTTCAAACTTCTGTACTTGTTTTTCAGCTGTGTAATTTCATGACGTCTACCTGTGCGCTTAGTGAATTTCAGTGCAATTTCATTATACCCTGTTTTGGTTATGGTTGTACCTACCCGCCAGCTCGCTAATATTGCGTCCCTAACACACTGTAGGAAGATTTTTGTTGCTGCACTGTCCCAGTTTGCCTTATGTGCATGATCCAACTCATCAACAATTCCTTCAGTACCTGATGGGCCAACCCCTTTATTCTTAGACGGGGTGCGAGGGGACGACCGTGTTGCAGCCATTCGACTTATGTGAGAGGACATATTATATACATTAGAACCCAGTTGATGAATACATTTCAGACAATAAACTATGAACCATATGGAAAAGACAACTTCCACAAAGTTTATCAAAACTAGTACGATAATTACTAACAACATATAGCGTTTACATACAAACGATCACAATGCAATTACTTGTTCAAAATAGTACTTCTTCAAAATAGTACTTATGTACAAGGGTAATGATTTACAAGGTTTACATTCGCAATAATAAGATGATGATCATGATGCACAACACACAAATCACCGTTTTCATTACACGCAACGTATTAATAATATGCACGACATCAGCCCGCAACTGCATGACATCGGTTGACCCAGAGTCATGGTTGAGGCTCCGTCTCCTTGATTTGTCACACCAACCAATCCAATTAACACATTGCTGATGAGTAAGAAACGTAAAACATTTATTAATTATGGAATTACAGTTTACAAACATATGGAGTGACAAATAAACATTTGTCACAACTCACCAGGGCCGGGGGCAAACATAATATGTACGTCCAGGATTTTTGTGAGATCTGGATACCTTTACAAAACAATGGCCATAGCCACAAGCACACATGCGCTGTGGCCATGTCGACGTGGCAGTAGAAAAAGAGGAAGCCATATTACTACATACAGACCAAACACATGACTAAAACAGCACCACAGATTGGGGTTATAATTGCAATACGCACATATTTGATGAAATGTAACAGTTAATTTATAACAGCATACCAGATTGAAGGAATAACAATCTATATTTATAACAACAGTTGATTGTTAACAGCATAACAGATTGAGTGAATAGGTAATTAAGCTAACTCCAACAGATTTGGGCAATTCAAATTCACTGTACAGATCAGATTTGTCCATTACTTTACACTTTTTTTGTGTCCATCAGTTTTAAACATTTGTGTGCACTGGAAAAAGGGTAAATGAAAGCATAATTTTTTTAAAATTAATTAATTACTAATTCATCAAATCTATTTAAACTGAAAATCAAATTAGATAATCGGAAAAAAAAATTTGATGAGGAGTGAGAGATGCACCCATAAATTAAATGTTTGTTTAAGTTTTTATTTAGATGGAAGAAATACATACAAAAAACTTATAGTCAAATCTCCAGAAATGTAATAGGTAATTTATAACGGCATACCCACAGATTAAAGGAATAGGTGTTTAAGTTACAAATTTTACTTCTTTTGATTATCAAATAAAGGGAAAATAAATAAATAAATTGTGTACGACCGTGGGTTCTAGGTAAGATTTTGCATCAACTGAATAAAAATTCAAAGCTCAACAAATCAATATTAAGGCTCACTTTGACCTTAACAAGAAGATGCGGTTGTTCTTTTAAAAAAATTTCTAAATGGTGATGAATGATTACGATCTTAACTAGAATGTAGATATGCAAAACAGATGCAAAACACTCATGGCATTGGTCCAATGTAACAGAAGGATAAGGATACCAATGAGGCTCATTTAATACTACTGAAGGTCTCAAAGTAAAGCTACTAGTTACAAAATTAAAATAGAATTTCAGAAAGTAGCATATCACAAAATTCCAATATATCACAAAATGGGCATGAGAAACAGTAAATTTGCAAGATATGGTGATGACTCGTGACATCAAAATAATGTACAAGGCATATAGAATTAAAAGCCCAAACCTATTTAAACTGAAAATCAAATTAGATTTAAAAAAAAAATGTTGATGAAAACTGAGATATGCTCTAAACAAGTAAATGTTCGTTTTAGTTTTTATTTACATGAAAGCAAGAAAAAAAAATTACACTGAAGAAAGGTAATTAATTCATCGTTTAAGTTTTTTTGTCCATTAGTTTCAGATAATTTTTGTACACTGAAAAACAAGTTAAATGAAAGAAGATTTATTTTTTTTTTTCAAATTAATAATTCATCAAATTTAATTTAAATTTTGATGAAAGCCAATTTTTAATATATGAGAATAATTTTGAAAAATATTTTTACAAAAAATTACATTACGAATTGAAATAATTGTTATTTTCTCCAATTTTATTTTTTTTATTTAAATTGAAAATCAATCTAGGAAAAAAAATAAAAATGATGAAGACTGAGAGATGCTCTTTCACAATTAAATGGTCATTTTAGTTTTTATTTAGATGGAAAAAAGGAAAAAAAAAATTTGTTCGTGAAATCTCCAGAAAACCCAAACTGAAGGAAGACCCAAAAGAAGAAAAATGGTTTGCTGAGCAAAGCAGAAACAAGTTATTTGTATCTATTTTTTGTTGGACACGACATGGTGAAGAGAACTAGGAAGATTGGTGACTGAACCACTGAAGTTGAACCAAGATCGAATATTTGAAGGGGAGTACATCATCATCGGTGCAAATCGGTGAAGAAAAAGCACAAAAATGGTGTTTGGCAACCGTACCTTTGTATCTCCTCGACGATCGGCTACTTGGTCTTTCCATAACAGTTTTGCCGGAGTGAGCCGCTGGAGAGAGGTAGTCCACTCTACTGTAAAAGCCTCCAGGTAGAGCCAAAGATGAGAGATATGAGCATGTCTCCAAACAGATAGGAGCAACGAAGGGTAAATACGTCTTTTTACCAATCTAATGCCATACAGCTGGACTGAGCTCCTGAACTCAGCTACAGTGCAAGGTTTTGAATTTTTTTCCGTTAGAACGTAAAATAGACAGCAAACCACGTTCCCAAACACCGCCAACATATTAGTATTGTTTCGTGTAATTTGTTATAATTAAAAACTGATAATTCAAAATAGAAACCAAATGTACTTCTCACCCAATTTTATAAATTATAAAATCAAACAATTTAATTCAAACTCAAAAAAAAAAAAAAAAAAAAATTATAAACAACTCAAATAAATTGTACCAAAACATCCCTTAAAGTCTTATCTTCAAAGAGGGAGGCATCATCGTATTGCATGAGGCTTATTTTGAGAAGAGCACACTTTAGTCAAAAATTAAAAAAATGATTACTCTTACAAAAAAATTAATTTTTCTCCTTATTTTTTGTATATTTTTTTTAGAACTATGCTTCTCTCTAATCTTTAATTGTACTGAAGAGACGTTGTTCGGATCGTTGGGCCTATGTTTGGGCACAATTTCGATGATTTAACCATTTATATTTTGAGATTTTTATAGGCCAGTCCTATTTTTAAGGGTTATTACCTTACAGGTCCTTAATGGAGACTCTTTTACCTATAGGTTCTGAACATTTTTGTTTATTCTGTTTTTGCCCTCATGTTTTTATACTAAGATCTGGAGATGAAAAATGAAAAAAAAAAAAAAATCCACTAGTTTTGATGAACCCATCTTGTGCTTCTACTTGGATCAATAACAGAACCAAGAGCACCACTTGACTCCAATGCTTTATCTCTCTCTCTCTTTCTCTCTCTAAATCTGTTTAAATGTAGAGAATCAATAAAATGTTTTAACAAATTAGACGTGTCACTCTCTTTCAGTGAAGGAAGAAAGAAAGCTTATATATATGAAGGGAACCTGCCGACCACCGTCGCCTCCAATATTGGCATCTTCTTTCATTTTTACCATTGCTTCCACCTCCATCGACGTCTTCACCTCCATCACCACTGACGTCTTTGCCTTCACCTTCACCTCCACCTCCACCTCCACCTCCACCTCCACCGTCGTTGCCAACCACTGCCGCCTCCACCTCCATAGTCGCCATCGCCTCCACCTCTAGATCTAGGATCTAGGCTCTAGGCTCTTTGCCGCCGGGTCTTCTCTTTCTCTCTCTCTCTCTCTCTCTCTCTCTCTCTCTCTCTTTCCCTTTGTGTGTGTGTATATTGGGGAAGATCCTAGTGATGAATCTGTTTAAATTAGTGATAAATCAGTGATAAATTTGTTTAAACCAATGATAAATTTATCACTGTTGAATTTTTATAAATTTGTTTTTGTAAATTAGTAAGTGAGTGTGTATGTATGTATGTGGGTATGAAATTTATCACTGATAATATTTTGTCAGTGATAATTTATCACTGCTAAATTATTGTGAATTTGTTTTTGTGAATTAGTAAGTGTGTAGATGTGTTTTTGTGAATTAGTGAGTGAGTGTGTATGTATGTATGTGAGTATGAGAGAACAAAAGAAACAATATATAAGGAACAAAAGGAAGACAACATAGGGCCTGTTTGGTGTAGCTGTTAAAACAACTTATAGATTATAACTTAACCGATTATAGATTATGACTTTAATCAGAAGTTGTTAATCTGTTTGGTGTAGCTGTTGGATTATATATTTAAGTTGCTGAGTAGTGTTTGTTAAATAAGCTGTGAAATAGTTTTTTCAATTAATTTTTATTTTTTGTTTGTCTATATTTCTCATAAAAAAAAAATCTATAGTCAATTTGAGTCTTTTTCTATTTTTAAAAAAATAAAAAATAAAAAAATTTAAGAGTATAACCATAAATTAACATGTCCACAACAGAAGTTGATAATCAGAAGCAAGGGGTGAGCAGCTTCTCAGAATCAGCTTTTTTGAGTTAAAATAAGCTGTTAGAATCAGAAGCTGTTTGAAATAAGTTTAACCAAACAGTCTAAAATAACTTTTTCAAAGCTAAAAGTCATAAGTTGGTTTTGAAAAGCTGAAACAAACACCCCCATACAAGGGAGAGCTCGTGAGCAGTTTCTCTGTTTTACGTATGTGGTGTGATATTGAAGGGTAAAATTGAAAACGGAAATAGGACAAGACTTAACTGGTGTTAACTTACTTCCATGGGACCGGCCGGTAAGTCCCCCTTATATTCTAGAATTCGTCAAGTACATCATTTTTATAAAAAAAAATTAAGTCGATTAAATAATGAAAATTATGTTGTCAGATCAATTTTGTATGAAAAACGAATGGTGAAAAAATAAATAGTTTATACAAAATTGATTTAAATACGTGATTACTTTTAATTGATTGACTTGATTTTTTTTACAAAGATGATTTATTTGACAAATTTTAAAATATAAATAATTTAAATTATCAAGACGAGACTTAAAAATAAGTCTAATGAGCCAAATAATACACCTCCAATTTGATTAAGAGCTCGTTTGAAAAGAAAAAGCTCCAGGCTTTTTGATTAAAATAATCACAAAAAAATAAAATAAGTTTTTTAATTTAATAAGACAAAATATTACATTTAATTCATAATTATCATATTTTTTTCTCACAAAAGTCAAAAAAATTAAAAAATCTGTTCTAAACAATATTTTTTAGCCTTAAATTAAAATAATCAAATAATTAAAAAATTAAAAAATCAACTTACATCTCAAACAAACAAAATAAGGAAGAACCTCAGTATTTTTTTAAATAAAAAATTAATTATTAACCTGAGCAGTGTTTTTCACTATCCGTCGCATGAGAGTGGCATGGGTACACCCTCCACTGTCAAATCAGACCATTGAGTCGTGCCCCGTGCATTTACTTTTCTACCTAAGATAATGCATTTTACACTTTTTAGGGATGTTTGACAAAAGTTTTTTTTTGTTTTTCTAATTTACTTTTTGAGCTAAAATTTATAAAATAATAAAATAAATTAAAATAATTAATAAAATAAAATATCACATCTAATTATAAAAAAATCTAATTATCTTCTTAAATACGGAAATTTTAGCGTACTAAAACAATAACTTTCCAAATACTCACTAAATATAATATGAAAAATATTTAGGACTCCTTTTGAAAATGACCCGCACACTATCAAAGTAATCCGTGCTCTCCTTATATGTTTGAGGTCTATTCATGTATATGTAAAGTTCATATTATAAATAGATCAGATTTGTGAGGGTCTTGTGAGAGTAGGGTCTCGACTATTAACCCTGTGAGACCCCAAAAAAAAAAAAAAAAAAAAAACAAAAAACAAAACACAACACAACACAGTGATACTAGCATCATTGGTTAATGCACCTAAGCAAAATGACGGTCGAATTGAGGGGTCATTTGGAAATATCATATAAAAAAAATCAGAAGCTAGTTTTTAATCTAGTATATGTTATATCACTTCTCACATAAAAAAAAAAAATTTAACTTTTAACCATCTTTTTAAAACACATTGAGTCACTCATTCCGTAAATTGAGTCACTCATTCTGTGTAGTGTTTTGAAAAGTTGATAAAAAGTTGACTTTTTGACTTTTTTATTGACTTTTTTGGCAAAAAAACTAGGTTATTTAGCTAAAAAATTAAATTTTTTTAGTTAAAAAATTAAAAATCTAAAAAATTGACTTTTTACCATTGTTCCCAAATGACCCGTTGATTTGAAAAAACATTCTGTAATCGAATTGAGTCACTCAATCTGTGTTGATTTGAAAAAACAAATACACCAAAATAGAGAGAGTATTTAATTTATATTTCTTTTACATTTTTTTAAAAATATTTATTTAAATTCATAATTAAACATAATTTTAAGTCATAAGAAAAAAAATAATAATTTAATGTTACATAAATTTATTGGAGTTGCACTTTTGACCACATTAGCCTCGTTTGGGAACATATCATTTTAGTTATTTTTTTAACTTTTTATGAAAAGATATGCAGAAAAACAAAAAAATAATATGACAACTTATATAAATTTTTTGACTTTTTGATTAAAATTAAAGATTTACAAACGAGGTCTAATTCTATTTAGTGTAACTTATTTGAGCTGCTAATTATTATTTTTATTTTATTTTAGGAGTTTGTGCTGTATTATTTGATACAACTTATTAAGTAAAAATAACTAAAATAAATTAATTATGTAAAAACTTGAAGGAAAAAAAAAATGTATTTTCAACTTTTGTTTTCTAATTTTCAACTTAAAATAAATAGTATCAAACATGACAATAAATTTCACCTATAAATCACTACCTATTTATTTATTTTTTTCCCGTATACGTTTACTTGCATGCAACATTACTACAATTTTGAAGAAATCTACAAATATAATAGATTGATCATAGAACTCAACGCAAAATATTTTTAAAAAAAGTAAATTCCATTAATAAGTCGAGTAAAATCTTGTCTATTTATTTATATATTTTGTAACAGTATGATAAATCTATCCTTATCAACTTAGAATATATTTAGAAAAAAAATCAATTATTCAAATTCATTTTGTTCATAGATCTTACACCGTATTAATTTAATCTATTACTGTTGGCTTATTTTTCTTACGAAAGAAAATAATGCGAGCGTGCCAGTAAGGATTGAAAAATCTTTACAGATTAAATTCAAACCAATTATCAAACGATTGCGTTGACGGTTCTTCTGCCTCAATGAAGAGGACTTCAAAATTGCCAAGTGTAGAGAAAAAAAAAATTAAAAGAAAAAAGAGGGAGACGGAGAAAGACGATTGAGTGAACAATCAAAGTAATAATTACTTACCTCTACTTCTATGCTTCGAAAATGAAGTGCATAAAATGATTTGAAAATGAAGTGCTGAAAATAAATGCTTCGAAATATAAATCTATGTTAAACTACTCCTAAGATAAGGAAAATGACAAGAAATATTGAAATCAATTGTTTTTGATTATGAATTCTGAATCTTTTACAATATAGCCATGAATGACTATTTATAAGCAAATATTTGTAAAAAAAAACTTCCAGCAATAACTACCCAATAACCACCTAAAACTACCCACTCTTCCATATTCATTCCCACAATGCCACATATCCCTCCATGACTTCATGACTTCATAACTTCCTTTAACCTTCAATTCATGCTCAATGTTCTTCACTTTATTCTCCATCATCTTTTCACATTTTCATAACTTCTCATAATCTCAAAATGAGTAGGAGGATGCCACATGTCCTGCAATTATATAAATAATAAATAATAATAAAAATTACAGATTTATAGTGCCAACAACCACACAAACAAATTTGGATAATTTATGAATTTAAAAGGAAAACCTACTTAATGATTTATGGAGTGCCATGTGTTTCATACTCCTTCATTAATCATCATACATCATATTCTCTTATATTCTTCATTCACCCAACATAAAATTATAAGTCTTACCTTCTCTACCAATTATCATATACCATATCCCTTATATTATTCAATCATCCAATATAAAATAATAAGTCCTACCTTCCGGACTAATTAAAATATTATGTCTCGATTCTTAACATTTTCCTATTTTTTGTGACCACTTTACATGTTTGTAGCAAAATTAGTGCAATTTTATTAGAGGGTGACGCATAGAGCTGCCCTGCGGGGGACGAAGGAGGTACCGCAACCATTTTAACTAAATTCACGAACCGGTGTGAGTGTGAGGATAATCTCTGGGCCGCCCATTGCTTGTTTGTTTCTACATAAGATGGAGTTGACCCTTCATTCCTTAGCATTTATAGCACTAGTGAAGTTTTAGGGAGAGGGAGAGAGAGCACAGAGAGAGAGAGAGAGAGAGAGAGAGAGAGTGAGTGATAGTGATAGCAGAGAGGGAGAGAGATGGAGGGTCTGAAATGGAGTTTGTTAGCTCTGCTACCACTCCTTGCATCTGTTATACTCTTCTACATGAAAACCCCTCCTCAAAAGGTTTGATTTTTATTCCCTCTTTTTACCCTATGAATACATAAACTTGATTTTTTAGATACCCATTTTTGTATGTCCCATTTCAGAGATAAATTCACTCATATACATACATATGTGTACATGATTTTGTATGTATCTGTCTGTCTGTGGCATAAGATATATTATGCTTGTATATTCATCTGGTAATCTGATAAAGGAAACGTGTTTTATTTGATAATGTTTGTTTTATTAAATTTAGGGTCTAAGTGTTTGGTTCATTGGAATTAGTCGGAATGAAATGATTATTCCATCGAAATATTAATTCTCAGGTTTGATTACACTAAAAATATAATGACAAATACATTAATTTCACTAGGTTAATCATTCCATAAGAAAGCCTAAGGAATCATCGTGCCATTCCATTCCATCTCATTCCAATGAACCAAATAGAGCTTTTGGTTCTGTTCTGTTTTGTTCGGTAGGGGTTTGCGGCAAAATTTAACACTGAACCGAACCCTTTTGGTTTTGTAGGTTGAGGAACCGAAACCGACCACATGTTACAGTTTTCGGTTTAACATAAATGTGTGTGATTCAGAGAATTTAAGGGTTTTATAGAAACATATGGAATCCCATCTCAAGAATAAATGAAAAGAGAGTGAGGATGCTCTATGAATGCCTCTCTCCCTAAATTTTATTCCAAAACATATAGGATTGGTTACTTACCTTCTAATGTGCAAAAAATTAAAATATAAAAACTATTTAAATATAATATTTCGGTTAGTATTGATGCAAAAAATTTCAGAACCAAAATAAATGTTATCTTACAAGAAATCAACAGAAAAATCACTAGGAGGAGAATAGGAAAATGGAAAACTGCATCACTTAACGCTTTACGAGGCCAACCCCTTTCTGTCTCTGATAATGGGTTTCACATGACATTTGTAGATAAATTAAAATAAGCAAGGCTCAACTAATTGATTCTGCATCCACACTTGTACAGTTGTAATCATGATTAAAAAAATGATATTGGACCATAACCATCTTGGCATTCTTTTTGGTGATCACCATTACCTTGGAATCCATGTAGGACCCCAAAATTTTTTTGAAATCAAATAGTATTTGTATATTTTCTCTTTATTTTATTGCGTGATGGGTTTAACTTATCGGATAGAGTGTGTCAAAAAATGGAGAGAGCCAACGAGTTTTAACAATATATTTATATGAAACTGAGTAATTTAAATAAGGTTGTTGGAATCTAGTCATCAATTTATTATTATTTTTTATTTTCTTGCGTGATGGGTTTAACTTGTCGGATAGAGTGTGTCAAAAAATGGAGAGAGCCGATGAGTTTTAACAATATATTTTTATGAAACAGAGTAATTTAAATAAGGTTGTTGGAATCTTGTCATCAATTTTTTATTATTTTTTCTTTAATCAACTAAAGGGATTTCAGTAGATGATGGATCTTTATTCTTTTAATGGTTGTTGGCATAGTTTCATTTCATCATGGTGACTATTGACTGATTGAGCTTACCAAGTCACATTTCAATAGGAAGGTGCAAATAGATAAGAAAAAGAAACAAAAAATCGGATAAAAAAATACTAACCAAAATTTTAGGATGATTATTGGGTGATTTCAATTCTAATTATATTATAATTCATTGATGCATGCAGGCGTGTGTAGGTTTATTCATATATATGTTCTCATTGTGGTTAATTATATGGAGATTTAGCTGTGTTTTATCACTTTTATGGTGTTACAATTTGAATAATTTGATCAAATGTAAACATTATTCTAATAAAATTCAAATATTTTTGTGACAGCCATCTCACAGCGAGTGCAGCCTTCTTGATCACAACGATTTCTGGATATCCAGCAAGCGTATTGTGACACCAAAAGGGGTGATTTCTGGTGCAGGTCCGTCTAATAAGTGATTTTTGTATTAAGAAATGTCATTTTTCATAAATTTTCACAATACCACGAAACGTCATAGTAGATAGATATATGAATCATTACCGATACTTGAAAAGTCTATAATTAATATTTACTGCAAAAGTATGCATTTGCCAAACTTTAGATTCCATTTCATCATTATAGTATACCCATTATATTTAGTACAATACTATACAATTTCTTCAAGCAACAATCTTCTGTAGTGCTGTTGATTAATTTTATGTTATTTACTTCTTACTTTTTAATCAAATCTGTAAATGATCAGTTGAGGTCAAAGGAGGAAACATTGCGTCTGTAATGGAAGAGGATTGGCAAGAGAATGTCGGGACTGGACAAGTGATTGATTATGGGGAGGCTGTTGTCATGCCTGGTCTGATCGATGTGTAAGATGAGGCAACCATCTTCTTATGAATTTACTTTATTTCTTTGACTTATATAAAATGAAAGAATAATTTGTCTTTGTGTTGTTTACTTTTCCTTCTTTCTTCTTTTGCCATACACTAGATGTCGAAAATGCGCCAGGGACCAAAAATACTCTCGACATAAATAATGCGAGAGCCATAAAAAGCTGATATTTTAAATTTAAAAGTGAGGGCATGGAAAATATAGCATGATATATGCACATAGGACAGGAATATTTGAATGTCAAGTCAATGTATTAATAGATAGTAGGAATTTTGATTACGATTAAGATTTCATTACTTCCAAAGGTATTAAGATGGCAAAACATGATAGGAAAATAATTTTGAGATGTAAGAAGTCTTTGATATTCCCTAATGAAAAAAAATGACAACTTCATGGTTACAGACTTCATAATTCTTTATTATTGAATTATCTGTTGAAAAACTGTCAAAATTTCTGTTCGTTAGCAAGCGAATTATCTATTGGTTGCATATTAAATGATTGCTAAAGCAGGATATTATTCCCTATGATCTGCAAAGGAGTTTAGAGAAAAGATTTTAACGGTGGGAACAATCCTCTATAGTAAAAACTCTAGCATTTGATTTATATTTTAATATATTTGTTTCTTTTGAACCGAAAAATTAATGAGATGACGATTTTTTTTTTTTTTTCTCTGGGAAATTCTTCAGAATGGGCACATTTCTGTCAGTACTCGTAGTTTATTATTATTTTTTAAATTTGTTTGGTAAACAATTGAAACCCATCTTTTATTTTCAACACTCAATTCTCTGCAGTAAAATTTTCTCTTGCATTATACTGGATGGAGGTCTCGTTCACAATTTTTCCTGGAATGTTGCAATTTTCCTAGATTACATCATTGTTCTCTGGTGAACGAGATTGTACACAGCACGTGCAACTAGTGGGGCATGGTTTCGCTATTTGAATTCCCACCTGGATCATTAAAAAATGATATTGGATTTTCCATTCATCTGATTCATGTATTTGCTGAAAAACTTATATTGCTATTGATCAAGTGGTTTTGGGGCTTTTAAATTCTCTTTGATATGAGATTCACAAGTTACCTTTATGGCAGGCATGCGCATCTTGATGATCCTGGAAGAACAGAATGGGAAGGATTTCCTTCAGGGACTAGAGCAGCTGCTGCTGGTTTGTAGATCTTGGTTCTTTATATCTAGTCTTGCTTCAATCATATTTAAGCGAAGAGTTCATAGATTTCTCAGAACCTAATGCTTTAAAACTTTTTGAGTACATGTCTCATTTACATAAATACCTAACCCTATTGGGTTATCTTATATATAGAAATAAGAATTCATTATTTGTTATATCCAATTATATCTGGTTGTTGGCTTTGTAAATCAAACTTTTATCTGCACACGTAACTACGAACTTAATTAACTTCGTTTATACAGGTGGGTTAACAACTTTGGTTGACATGCCTCTTAACAGTTTTCCATCTACAGTTTCCGAAGAAACTTTTGAACTCAAGGTATGGATGGTTAACACCATTAATTTTTCATTTTTTTACCATGGAGGCTCTGCTTAAAGATAAAGCCTGTTTATATCTTTCTGTTTAACTCTTCAATTTTCTTCTTTAAAATCATTATAGTAAGCTTGCAATAATCATCATAATCCTATCTCAACTCACTTAAAGAGAATTTTTGACAAGGAAATTTGGAACAATTAAAAAATCAGACTTCGTTTGATCTTCCATAAAATACTGAACACTCAAAAAGCGAACTTCTCAGGAACTTAGCTTCACTTTTTAATTAGGTAGTTAGAAACTTAGAAGTCTGTTCAGGGTTTTTATTTTTAAATTGATAAGTATGAACAGAAGTTTATGTTCTGAGTTCATATTCTTTTGTATTATTGTAGCACCAAAAGTCAGTCTTGGTTGAATCTTTCAGAGACAACTAAACACTCTAAAAGCAAGCTCCCAAAGTGTTTTTGAGTTCATATTCTTATTGTACAAAAACTTGACCAACTATTGCCTTTTCTTGTTATCTTTTTTCCATCTACATAACAGATCAAGGCTGCAGCAAAGAGGATCTATGTTGATGTTGGTATGCTCTTAGAACTATATATGAGAAATCTCATATTTTAATCACTTGTTTTACTCAATTCCAATATTGGCAGGTTTCTGGGGAGGTCTGGTTCCAGAAGCGATTTCATTTAAATGAAATCGCTTTTTGTATCAGCGTTTTCAAACTCCTCATATATACGAACAAACCCCCCCCCCCCCCCCCCCCCCCTTTCATTTGATGTACTACTTGCTGTTACTCTCAAACAATGTTGCTCAACACCTGGTATATCAGAAAACATTTTAATTTTAATTTTATTTTATTGGCTTGATTTCCAATTCTCTTTGATAATGTGTGTATGTGTTTTCCCCCCCTTTCTCTCCCATGCATCACAATTGCGTACTTACCTTTTTTCCATTATTATACTCCATCCTAGCTTTTTGATTATTGTTGCCTGAAGTTGTTGGAGAATTATGTATTAAATCTGACATTTTAGCTCTTTGCTGTAGTCCTTTATGTGTCCTTCGGGGATCAATGACTTTCCCATGACAAATGCTGGCCATATTAAGGTGCGTTTGGTGTTATTTAGACTGCATATTACATTGATTTATCTGTTTAGTGTTATTTGCTGCCACATCTTTGATGTTTACTGGTACATTTCCAAATTTATCCACGACTTCACAGATGTTTTTATATATATTATTTTATGAACAGTGCAATATATATATTTTTTTCCTTTCATGCACACTCATGCCTCTCATCATGCACCATTTTAATAATTTTCTAATAAAGTTGATCTGCTTATTCACCTGTAGGAAGGATTGTCCATACTGGCAAAGTATAGAAGACCTTTACTTGTACATGCAGAGATTCAACAAGAACTTGAAGATATTGCAGATGATCCTCGATCCTATTCAACATATCTCAAGACTAGGCCTGCTTCATGGTAAAATATTACTTAAGCTTTCCTTTCTTCAAAATTAAGTTGATTTCTCTATGTTCTACTGAGCACCCAAATTATGTTTGTTGTTTATATGAAATTAACGTAAATCAGGCAAATCAATCATAGTACATAAATGCATTATTTTAGAGGCTGCTATTTTTCAGTCATATTTGCACTTATCTACTTCTACCCTCAAAGTATGAAAGGAATGCCTCGTGTGAATTTTACGATGAATGTATTTAACGATGAATGTATTTACGTACTATGATTTGCTTGATTTATGTTAATTTCATGTTAAATGGATGATTATGTTCTTCTTCCGCTCATTTTGTCTCTGATGATTAGGGAAGAGGCAGCTATTAGAGAGCTCTTAACAGTAACAAACAGCACAAGGGCTGGTGGCCCTGCTGAAGGAGCTCATCTTCACATTGTTCATCTGTCTGATGCGAGATCTTCCTTAGATCTAATTAAGGTATGTTAGAGTTTCTCTTCGTTCTTGTAGATATAAAATTCTAATCCAAGCATAAAAATTGTATTTTTAAATAAATAAATGATAGCTTTAATAAAGTGAACATGTGCAATTTGTAATGAAAATGAAATTAGGACCCCAGACAATGCATCCAAACTATAATCGAATGACCCCTGTATCAAATGTAGAGAAGGCCAGTGATGTAGGACGAGTAGGGATTATTTTCCTATAAGTAGTGAGCCCGGATTAAGTATACTAGCAACAGCAACAATAGATTTATAGGGCTAGATTTTGTGGGATTTTGTAGGATTTTGTGGCTGCAAAAGCATTTGAAAAAAATAGGAGTTTTAGGATTTGTAAAAGGTAGGGTTTTGGGAATGAAAACACAAGTGCTTAGGAGCTGTTGGTGACTGTTCTAAGCACTATGAACAGTAACCTTGCTGGAGAGAGAGAGAGAGAGAGAGAGAGAAGTGTTTCACCCTCACAAGGGATAGGTCAATCATACAAACACAATCTCAAATTTTCATAATAATAACTCTGTTCCTCAATCATTGAGTTACACATATATTTATAGGCTAAAGACTCTCCTAATTCTATAAGGAAAATAATTCAAATTTAAAAACTAAAAATATTTAACAACTACTAATATTCTAGACCAACTATGACTTCCAATTCTACTTAAATCACAATAGGAAACTTTAATGACTTTTAATTTTACTTCAATATCAAACTAGTAATTTAGACTTTTGACCACTAAAGTTATTTTAGACATAATAAAATCCATATATAAGACCCATTTAATAACTTGATCTAAAATAAAATCCATGGGTGACCCCTACGACCCATTTCCAATTATTGGAATTACCATTATACTCTTAATTACTAAAACATACTATAATGGCATGAAGACTTAAAATTATTTCAAATCTTTAATTCTTGATACCCTAAATGTGCTTCATGTGAAATTCTAGATTTGCTCTTTTTCTTCTTTCCATGATCTTCATCAGCCACGGTCCAATCCAAAATATTATTAAGACCACTTTTAGGCTCTGGTTATTCATCTCTTTCTCTCATTTGGATCATTTTCCTAAATTTTATTGCACACATTTATGAAGAGTTTGACCAAGAAACAATGTTTCGGAAATAATCTTCTACCAGGCAGACAAATTTTAGTTACTTTTTAAATGAAGCATAGAAGGAAAATGATCTACAAAATTCTAAAAGGCCATGGTCTCATTGTTACGTCTTCATGTTTTGGAAAGTTTTACCAGTACTTTTTATGAATTGAAATTCTATGCTCATTTCACTTCCTTGTTTGTCTAGGAAGCAAAAAACAGCGGTGATAGCATAACTGTTGAAACTTGCCCCCATTATTTAGCCTTTTCGGCCGAAGAGATTCATGATGGGGATACCCGTTTTAAGTGTGCTCCACCCATTCGTGATGCTGCCAATAGAGAAAAACTATGGGGAGCATTGATGGTATATGCAATTTAATGATAAAAATTTCTGTTGCCTTCTTTTTTTTGGTGTCATCATACAGTTTTACTTGATTCAATGTACATTTCAGGATGGACATATTGACATGCTAAGCTCTGATCATTCACCAACAGTTCCAGAACTCAAACTCTTCAATGATGGTAACTTTTTGAAGGCATGGGGTGGTATATCTTCTTTGCAGGTTAGTGAGTTCACTGTAAGTGTGGTAGGTAGAGTTGAGTGTGTTAGGTGAGAGTTGAGTGTGGTTGGTAAATATGTTTTTCTCTTCTATATATAGGAGAGTCATTGTATACAAACAGATATCAATCAATAATACATACAATTTATCTCTATCAATATATTTTTTACAACATACTATAATGGCATGAAGACTTAAAATTATTTCAAATCTTTAATTCTTGATACCCTAAATGTGCTTCATGTGAAATTCTAGATTTGCTCTTTTTCTTTTTTCCATGATCTTCATCAGCCACGGTACAATCCAAAATATTATTAAGACCACTTTTAGGCTCTGGTTATTCATCTCTTTCTCTCATTTGGATCATTTTCCTAAATTTTATTGCACAGATTTATGAAGAGTTTGACCAAGAAACAATGTTTCGGAAATAATCTTCTACCAGGCAGACAAATTTTAGTTACTTTTTAAATGAAGCATAGAAGGAAAATGATCTACAAAATTCTAAAAGGCCATGGTCTCATTGTTACGTCTTCATGTTTTGGAAAGTTTTACCAGTACTTTTTATGAATTGAAATTCTATGCTCATTTCACTTCCTTGTTTGTCTAGGAAGCAAAAAACAGCGGTGATAGCATAACTGTTGAAACTTGCCCCCATTATTTAGCCTTTTCGGCCGAAGAGATTCATGATGGGGATACCCGTTTTAAGTGTGCTCCACCCATTCGTGATGCTGCCAATAGAGAAAAACTATGGGGAGCATTGATGGTATATGCAATTTAATGATAAAAATTTCTGTTGCCTTCTTTTTTTTGGTGTCATCATACAGTTTTACTTGATTCAATGTACATTTCAGGATGGACATATTGACATGCTAAGCTCTGATCATTCACCAACAGTTCCAGAACTCAAACTCTTCAATGATGGTAACTTTTTGAAGGCATGGGGTGGTATATCTTCTTTGCAGGTTAGTGAGTTCACTAGTCCCATATGACTCTTTTCCAGGGTACAGTATATATTAAAATGAATTTGATTCCACTTAACAAGGTTACTCGATGTAGGTGGTTTTGGTTTTGAAGTCAACTCGATGTTAAAATACATTTTTATATTGAAACAATTGTTAGTTTAGATGTGACTGCAATTTTTTGAAAAATTATAGTTCGCACGCTTCAAGTTATTAATGTTCTTACTTTTCTGAGGATTGATTTTTTTATCCCTGAATGTGATTTGTCTTTTGATTGTTTCGAGGACTGTCTTCTTTGCTGAGCACAGTTTGTTCTTCCTGTGACATGGTCCTATGGGCGTAAATATGGAATGACTTTGGAACAGTTAGCTTCATGGTGGAGTGAGAAGCCTGCCAAACTTGCCGGCCTAGATTTGAAGGTAACACTCATAGTTGTTCTGTCTCCTTCTGGACCACACATGGCATTTTCATTGAACTTCCTTGAAATAATTTGAAACACTGATGTAGAGAAAATGAAATAAGGCATTACTTTCTTTTTGGCCACTGCCTCGTTACAATTTAGATGATGAGCTGAAAAAATCCAATCAGTATATATAATCTGGTCTACGATTAACTTGAGTTGCAGTATCAAATGAAATTGTTACCTTACAAAAAAAAAGTATATCTTCATTTTGATGTTGTGGTCTGTGACAACTTAGCTGTGTTTTATGGCTTAAAATAATAGTGGGTTAATTGCCATTGTATAATGAACCTGTGCAGGGGGCGATTGCAATTGGAAACCATGCAGATATAGTGGTGTGGGAACCAGAAGTGGAGTTTGACCTCAATGATAGTCATCCTACATATGTCAAGCATCCTGTATGTGTTCTTTATGCCACCGTTGTTCAATTTCTAAGTTACCCATCTCAGTTTAATTTTCTGTGCTGATTTTTTTTTTTTTTGCTTGGGTTTTGTGCTGATTTAACCATTCCATTTTTTATTTTTATTTATTTTTATTTTTTATTTTTTAATTTTTTTTTAAACAATGAAAACGAAAACAAATATATGCAGCAGATTTTCCATTTCACCACTTCTTTGTTTTCTGAAAAAAGAAAAAGGGAAGCAATTAAACGGAAATAATCTCTTAGAGACCAAAAGAGTTAATATGTGATGATTGGGAGACCTTATTCAGTTACTTAATGGGCTAACTCGTCTTCTTTCCAACCTTAGGTGTGATTTTGGCTTTAGAAATATCAAACATTGACGTGCATAAATGGCTCGAAACTTCAACACGAACAAATATGGCTTTTTTTTTTTTTTTATAATATTTTTATTATAGGCAATAGAGGGTGATTCTCTCCCTTTTCTCGCTTTCCTTTTGGAAATGTTCCTACTTGTCTTTGCATAGAGTATCTCAGCCTACATGGGATCAAGACTATCTGGAAAAGTTTTGGCGACTTTCGTGAGAGGCAACCTTGTCTACAAAGAAGGGAAGCACGCTCTTGCTGCCTGTGGCGTCCCCATCCTTGCAAGATAATGAGATGAACTTGCAGGTAGTTCTCAATTGTCTTATGAATTTGGCTATCATATTTATTCTCTTTATTAGTGTCGTGACTTTTCACATGCCTGTTTTGTGATCATTTTGCAAACTTTTTTTTTTTGATGAATTAGGTTTCAGTTAAGATGGTTCACCAATTGTGGGGGATCTGGGGGGCAATGTAAGAGAATACCAATCACTTTGATCTGTTGATCTGACTGGGCGTTTCAAGTCATTGGATGATTCTGGCTATGGACCTACTGTTGATTGGTTGTATATTTGGATGCATATGAGGGAAATGTACATATTGCGACCTACAAAAACTGAGCCAAAAAAATAAAAAAAATGAAACCTAGAAAATTTCACTGCAGGATTTTCAATTTCATTCTAAAAAAGATCACAACTTACTAATATTAATTTGTCTTCTCAATCCTGAGTTCATTGTCACCCACGTCTATCCCCCATAATCAATGAAGTTGGGTTGAATGATGTTTACTTGCATGCTTTATGTAATAAGAAAAGGAAAGCAAAACAAACATGACCATTGAAGTATGGACATTTAAACTTTTAAAACTCTGCTATGACTCCACTTTTTATTGTTTTTCTTATAATGAAGAAATATTTAAAGAAACCATAGAAAACATACAAAATCAGCCTGCCCTGCCCTATTTATGATGTGTTTGGTTGGGGGATTTGGGGAAGGATTTGGAAAGGGAAAGTGAAAAGGTGTGTGAAACTAGGTGAAATATAGGCATGTTTAATTCACATTTCACCTACTTTTTTCATTTCTCTTTTCAAATTTCTCCTTAAATCCCCTAACCAAACACAACATTAGGGAATCTTTAGCCATAATATGTGCTTTTGTCTCTTTATAGGTGCTGTGATCAACTATGATACCAAAATGATTGACTCTGATACCAAATGACATAGGTTGCTCTTGGATGAAGAGTTTACGCTCCATTAAGATGGATTGGGTATTCCGATGGCCTTGAAAGATAAGGATGTGGAATGTAGCTTAACAGCAAAACGTAAATCATCATCATCCTTGCCCTGAACTTGCAATTTGGGAATTTCATCAATAGCGGGAAACTGCTTATATAACTTCGAATGCAATTTTGACTTATCAAACGCTGTGACATAAATATTATGCTCTCGCAGTTTGATAGATCCTGGAACATTGCAATACTGTTGTTTGTTTATCATCTGTAGCTGGCGGTACTGATTGATGTATTCTCAAGGTTGGCCTCCATAAAGCCTACAAGATTATCATAAATTAACAGATAATATAAGGGTGCTCTTAATATCACCCGCAAAATATTTTGGACCCCTTCTTTAAATTACTAAAACCAAATTTAAATTTTTTTAAAATTTGTTTGGACATTCCACTTAATACCAAAATTGACCTTAACCCTCTCAAACCCTAACCATATCCCCCACCCGAGTCACTATCCACCATCAATAGCTTTGGCACCATCGCTAGCTTCGGACATCGCACCTTGCCCCCCCTCCCTCCCATCCTTCCCTAGCTCTACCCCTCCCCAATCCTCTCCCACCACCTTCCAACCTCTCCCTTTCCCTTGTCACACCACCAACTATTGTGACGAGAGAGAGAGAGAGAGAGAGAGAGAGAGAGAGAGAGAAGAGGGGCTAGAGGGTGGCATCGATAGGTGGGGACGGGCTGGGCATGGTGCCAATGGGTTGGGGGGCAAGGGGGCTGGGAAGGGATTAGGGAGGTTAGAGGTGAGGTTAAAATTAAAATTTCAGGTTAGAATGATAATAAATAAAAAAAAGAGCAGGTTGATTCCAATCTAGGGATCTTACTGTCTGAATTCATAGAGGTCATTGTAGGTCCCAGTACAATTATCCAATCCATTTAATTTTAGGTCAGGTCCAGTCTGTGTATGTTATTCAAAAAAACCATAATAATCATAGTCATATAATTTTATTATTTTTGTTTTAAAAAGAATCAGATGACAAGTTGAATTTTGAAATTAATTTTTTTTTTCTAGAGATAAATATAATAAAATTATATAAGTATAATTTTTGAATCAATTTATTTATTTTTCATGCATGACCTACATACCCAAGTTAAAAAAAAGATATGTATATGTGGGGGGTTCAATTCAAGGAAGAATTGCTGCTAAAAAAAAATAAAAAATAAAAATTCAAGGAAGAGTTTAGTCCTATCATGACAAGGTTCCACCACTTTCCTGAAATCAATCCCAATTGACAATTTCTTGGAAAGCTCAAAATGACTGGCAATCTGTTCCAGATCCAGTAAAAAATTTTCTTGGCTGTATTTACACAACCCCATGACAAAATAACATACATTACACTTAGCACCACCTCATGCACGCATAATCACCATCTTTGGTGCCACGTAACCCTTTGGCATCTTCCATTTGCTTTCTGTTCTGTTCTAACTATACACAAAGGATAAGCGTGGGCTGTTTGTCTTCAACCCTAGTTTATATTTGCTGCCGAGAAATATATATGTCGAGAAACCAGTTTTATTGTTGGCAGTACTAAAACTGTTGAAGTGTTTATTGCAAAATGTTGGCAGGTTTTGAGAAATCCACTGGAAAACCGCCAGAGGAGCTGAGTCTTCCTTGGAAGGGTATGCCGGATTTGAAAACCGGGGAAGAGACTGTAGAGATTTTCCGTTCATGGCGGCCTCATTCAATGCTGTTCAACCTCCCAAATGGGAATTCCATGGCTTTGTCACATGAGGATGAGTGTCCTTTGCATCCAAGGTATTGGATTGGATCTCCAACTATGATTTGAACTGTCATGCATGGTTAATTTTCTATCTAATCGATCTGTATCACTAATCGGTCTGTATTCGGATAATATAAGATGATATAAAATGGTAAAAAAAGAAAGGGTGATATTCACTTTTTTCTATGCAAGTTATGTCGAGAACTGGAACATGTTACTTATTATTTCAGCACAAGATCATCTGTCCTTAAAAAAAAGGTGCATTCCGACCATTGTCCTATACATTTAGGTCATGTTTGTTTGGGTGGACATGAGCTTGGGATTGGACTAATAGTCCAATAAAACTACTAATCCAATGTTTGATTAAACAATTGAAGTACGGACTAATTATTTTAAACTTGACTATTAGTTAAGATAGGATACATAATCCAATGGATTTGTACCCTAGGACTATTAGTCATGGGAATGCTAATCCAGTCCACCCAAACAAACATGGCCTTACAGAATCATAAGTATACGATTTTTAATTAATTTTTAAATAAAATAAAAAAACAGATTCGTGTGACAGAAGGACAAACATTTTTTTGGGGATAGAGAATCCCAATACTCTGTAGGCCCATTCTCTATGAGTAATTTAATGTGTTGATGTATAAATGTCCCTTTTGAATTTCGAAATTGAATTGATCTAACATGAGCTTGGGATTGGACTAATAGTCCAATAAAACTACTAATCCAATGTTTGATTAAACAATTGAAGTACGGACTAATTATTTTAAACTTGACTATTAGTTAAGATAGGATACATAATCCAATGGATTTGTACCCTAGGACTATTAGTCATGGGAATGCTAATCCAGTCCACCCAAACAAACATGGCCTTACAGAATCATAAGTATACGATTTTTAATTAATTTTTAAATAAAATAAAAAAACAGATTCGTGTGACAGAAGGACAAACATTTTTTTGGGGATAGAGAATCCCAATACTCTGTAGGCCCATTCTCTATGAGTAATTTAATGTGTTGATGTATAAATGTCCCTTTTGAATTTCGAAATTGAATTGATCTACACTAATGTAAATCCTGGTTGTCCATAATGTGATCGGAAAAGAAAATGAGTGATAACCAGAATTGATGCATATGATCAGAATGATGTCTCTTCACACACGCACACAAACACAAAAATAAATAAATTCACTATTTTTACTATTGCAATTTGGAAAGTAATGTTCTTGCTTTTGTTATTAGTAAATGAAAAAAATACATAAAAATGCACATGAAACACTGCATTCTATGCACTTTCTGTGTGTTTGTAGCATTGCATAAATTAAGTTTTCTATTTTTTGTATTAGGTCTATTGTTGTCGTGGACGATGTGTATTGTATTTTCCTTGGAATGTTAGTGTCACGACCCCAAACCGCCCCTAGTAGTTTGGTGCCGTGATGGCCAGTAATCCGTAATTACCGGAGGCCAATTTCAAGGATTCACACACAATCAGAGTATATATATAGGGGGCTCACAAATGCGGAAGTAAGAATTCAAAATACAAGTGGTCCATAAGAGTCGTGCATAAGTTTGAATGGAATGGCATACATCTTTACATAGGTTTAATACAACAATGAAGTACAAAATACATCTTGACCAAAAGGCTTCTCAAGCCGACATATACAAATTACACATGAAATATAAGCTAAGAAGCATGATCTTCAAGACGTTACAAAATGCTAATCCAAAATACGTCGGCAATGCACTCAAAACACATCGGCAGCACATCTAGGCCTCAATGCCTTCTTGCTCATCACCTACATATATATATAGAGAGGGTGAGCTTGGATACTCAGTGAATAATATTAGAAATAAAGGTTTTTGCATGATTGATATCCGAGATTCTTTCAAGACAATACATAGTATAACTTCACAAATCAAGGGGTAAGTTAAGTTCGTTTGTCAGTCTTTCGAGTTCCTCGGATGTTAATAACATCTACATAATACATGGGGTGATGACATTCCAAGACAAGAGTGCAGTTGCATTATAGTCCCCTGGCACTAAGGACTTTCAAGAAATGTCATCAAAACAAGATAGTGTTTGATATTCAAATAGGGGTAATCATTCATGCTAAATCAATTACTTTTATCAAAACAAGGCAAAGCTTTATCAAAACGTTATAACATAACTTTATTAAAAATACCACTCACATAGCTCTTCGAACGTCGGGGTCAAGACAAGCCCAAGTCCTACAAACACATGGCAAGGCCTATTGAATGCACTTTCAAACAAGCTTCATATGTATACAAATGATTTCGGAAAACATGCTGGGCACTAACCAGGTCTAGGCCGAGGTTGCACACCTCCTTGCCGAGGTGTGTTCCCGAGGGCCATATTCAAGGAAAAGAAGTCGGGGAAAATCTGGGTTCCCCTCAGTTGGTGAATCGTGAAGAACATGAACACGAAGAACATGAAAAATATGAATGCTCAATCACAACTTGTTATCACAAAATCTGAGATTTTCATGCTACGAGTTCAAAGACACGGACTTGGGTACCCATACTTGAGGTTCTTGCGAAAACAAACACAAAAACATGATTCTCGATGCAAACTTTCGGATCGAAACAAGACTTTTTCTTCAAGAACACATGAGCACTATTTTCTCTTTCTAAAACCGAACTTTAAGTCGATGCATGGCTTACAAATCATTTACAATCATGCAATGCAATAACATAGACATATAGAACAACAAGAGCGGATCAAGAATCTAACCTTAGAACACGGATCCAACGGTTTGATCTCAAGGAATCAAGCTCGAAGATTTACTTTCTCACTCTAAAACTTCTTCTTCCTCCTAGAGCTTCTCTCTCTACTTTCCAAAACAATATACAACAAAATGATAGGTTCTCACACTCGGTTCTGGGTTTAACCCTCTTGAAATCCCTATTAGAACTCCCCAGTTAAGCGTGCTTAGGCTGGAGTAGTTCTAGGATGGGTGACCCACTGGGAAGAACAAATCCGTGCGGGCGTGACCCAAAGCGGACAATATCGATGACGTGTAAAGGGTCGGGGCGTTACAGGTTCTCACACTCGGTTCTGGGTTTAACCCTCTGCTGGGACACGTGGCGGTGACTGGTTGGGTTTTCCCTCAAAAGGTGGCTGACAGACCAGACAAAAGCATGGGCGAAAGGGTGTTCAACAAGTAAAGCGGTATGGGCTCTCTGGCAAGGCAATGTCATCGGCCAAGAACAAGGCATCGGTAAGCAGGGTGACAAGGACATCGGCTAGGAAGGACAACACTTGACCTAGCTGTGCCACACCTCGGCCTAGATGTGCCACACCTCGGTCTAGGTCGTACCAATCTAGGAGCAAGATCACTTGGGTTCAAAGGTGACATCTCGGCCTAGATGATACACATCTCTGCCTTGGTGATGAACACTTCGGCCTAGATAATGACATCTCGGCCAATATGCCAGGACGAAGGTAGAGGTCAGCCAAAGTGGTTCCAAGATGGTTCTAGGCTTAGGATGACCTCGGCTTGGAATAACCTAGGCTTAACATGACTTAGGCACGAGACTTCAAGAAGGAACAAAGCATGCACAAAACAATTAGGCAAAACAAGACAAGATTCCTGATTGTGACTTAACAAGACAAGATTATGCAAATGCACATGAATATGACTAGGACATGAATGTGGGTTATTACAGTTAGAGAACACTTGTGACTTGCGTAGTCACTACGGTCTCTCAAGACAAGTGACAGAAGCCATGGTAGTGGTCGAAGCTTACAAAGTCTTAAGAGATCGTACACCCTATCCTCCCGATCAAGTTGTTAGAGACCTCCAAGGAAAATTTGCCTTTGTTCTGTTTGATGCTCGAGCCAACACACTTTTTATAGCTAGGGTGAGTTTGAACACAACTCAAAGTTGCACCCAATGGTAGCATTCTTGATATGATTTACAGTAAGTTTGCTTAAAGTTGCTTACTTCATGAAATGTCTTCAAGAAATGTTTCATTGCAATTGGTTGAAGTTTTTGATATTTTTAAAAGGGCCGAGTCTTTCTTGTAACTCCTAAAGTTGCATTGTCTAAGATGACCGATGTACCGTTGGCCACATACTGGGGCATATGAGGAGGTTTGCTCCTATCGAGATAGGAGGAAAGCCTCATTCTTAATCAATCGCTTGCCACATACTGGGGCACATGAGGAGGTTTCCTCCTATCTAGATAGGTGGAAAGCCTCATTCTTAATTTTTACAATAACAACGTTATCAACAACACAAAAACAAATCACAGAATGGAATACAAATACTCATATGTCAATAGGTCTCTTATTGTGTGTGGCCCATAGGCATGTGAGTGTTGATGCTCCCATATTTAGTGATTTATTTATGTGTTAATAATATTTTTGTTTTTTAAATTCCAATATTTATTCCGAAGCTCTCATTCTATGCTAAATGCTTTATAAATTGTGGAAACTGCATTTTTCCCAATGTTGAGTGATTCATCAACAATGCTAGACTTGGGGGGAAAAAATTACTAGGCTTAATCTTGACCATTTTGCTAATTATTGAAGGATCGTGATGGTTGCATTCCACTTCAATGGAGAATGGCCAGAGATGGGTCCTTGGTCTGTTCTGATGATCCAAATGTCATTGCAGAGGCTTGTGGAAATTGCTGTACTTTTTTTCCTCCAGGTTTCCCTCTCTTTTTCACCCAATACATTCTGCATTTTGCTCTTAGTACGTAATTTTTGCATAACTTACAAAATTGCCCCTCGTTAGAGATGAAAAAATGACAAGTGTAAAGCTTCGAAGGAGGGACAATTTAGGTACCTAACAAAGTACAAAAGGCTTTATTGCTCGTAACTGTCTAATAAAACAAATTAAAGGTTAAAAGGAGAGTGCGGATAGCACTAATGTACATAATAAGTGTGAAAAATGTTATGAGTTGTGTTCATTTGCAGGGAATTTTTTTAACGAAAAGAGTCACAGAACAAAGACGATGAAAGTTAATAAGTGACTACGAATGGGTCCTACCCTAAGTTGAATTCACCTAATATTTGTTGCTTTATGATTTTTTTTGTGCAAGGATTCTGTGTAAGTAAATTTCTCAAATGTTAGTTATTATAAGATAAAAAGGAAGTGAAAATTAGAATATTGTGTACCAGTTTAATTGTATATCGGGCTGTGTTTTGTGAGCTTCTTGTTGTGCCTAGGAGGTAGAAAACAATCACACACAAGCACACAAGCAAGAACACACAAAAATTTACGTGGTTTAGCAAATTGCCTACGTCCACGAGCAGCGGATTTCACTATATGGAAAGAAATACAAAACTACAACAATGGAGGAGGAGGAGACACTATTCTCACTCAATTCACACCCACTCACTCAATTGCTTACACTTTGCTTACATTTTCTGATTTCACCACACCACACTCCTCCCATTCATTATCCATTTATGGATGCAATGGGAGAGCCAAAGTCTTTAACAAGCCACTGACAACATTTATGGTAGCCACCAACAAGATCAACTACATACCATGAGTAGCTCTGTTGAATCTCTAGCCCAAATCTTTAGCTTCTTCATTTGTCTTCAATCAGCAACTATTGTTGACAAAGTGAATCAGAGCCAAATCTTCAACAAATCCCCACCTTGGCGAGGATTCTCCATCCAACATAGTGATCAATCAACACTGCCATGCACCCGAAGGTGCTCAGTTCCGAGAGATGTTGACCAAGTCCAAACAGTGTTGGAACTTGATCCCAAAAACCACTTTTGTGAGCATATCGACTGGATTATTTGCAGTACTAATCTTTTGAAGCAGAATATTCCCTTCATTCACAATTTCTCAGAAGAAATGGAAATGAACATCAATGTGCTTGGTGCGGGAATGATGAACTTCTTTGCCAAACAAATGGCACTTTAACTGTTTCAACATGCTTCTGAACAATACCCAAGTTCTCAATCAAGCCATGTAGCCAAATAGCTTCCTTAAAGGCTTCTGTCACTGCTATGTACTCTGCCTCTGTAGTAGACAAAGCCACCGTTGACTAAAGCGTTGACCTCCAACTCACCGGCCCTTTAGCAAGTGTAAATAAATACCCTGTTGTTGGCCGGCATTTGTCCAAGTCACCAGCATAATCTAAGTTCATATATCCAACCAAATTCTATCTGAGTCGACTATCTTTCTCTAACTTTAATCCCAGATTAACTGTGCCATGTATATACCTTAGGATCTATTTTACTGTATGCCAGTGACCTTTCCTCGAATCAAGAATATACCTGGTTACTATACTCACAGCATGTGAGATGTCAGGCCTTGTACAAATCATAACATACATTAATGCACCGATTGCATTTGCATATGGAACTTGTGCCATATGCTTCTGTTTTTCTTCTGTGCGTGGAGACATTGAAGCACTAAGCTTGAAATGAGGGGCCAATGGTGTACTCACAACTTTTGTTTTTCCATTTATGCCACATCTATCTAACACATTTTTCAAATACTGGGTTTGCGTCAAACAAACCATGCGCTTCTTCCTATCTCTTTTGATCTCTAATGCCAAGAATTTTCTTTGCTTCACCATGATCCTTCATTTCAAACTCTTCTGCCAACTGTGCCTTGAGTTTGTCAATCTCTAACTTGCTTTCGGATGCAATTAGCATATCATCTACATATAAGAGCAAATAGATGAAGGAACCATCAGAAAGCTTACAGAAATATACACAATGATCAAATTGACTTCTTGTGTATTCTTTCTCTATCGTGAACCAATCAAATCGCTTGTACCACTGTCTCGGGGATTGCTTCAACCCGTACAACGATTTGTTTAGCTTACAAGCCCAATTCTCTTTTTCAGCAACTTTGAAACCATCTGGTTGGGACATGTATATCTCCTCTTCAAGATCTCTATGTAAGAAGGCAGTTTTGACGTCGAGTTGGGTGAGCTCGAGATCAAACTGTGTAACCAAAGCTAGCAAGATAAGAATAGATGTGTGCTTCACAATAGGTGAGAATACCTCATTATAGTCTATTCTTTCCTTCTGGGCATAGCCTTTAACTACCAATCTAGCTTTGAATTTGATGTTGTCTTTGCCTGGGATGCCTTCCTTCTTGGTGTAAACCCACTTATATCTAATTGCTTTCTTGCCGTTTGGAAGTTGCACTAACTCCCAAGTCTAGTTCTTATAGAGTGATCCGATCTCTTCATCCATAGCCCCCTTCTATTTGACACTTTCTGCATTCTGCACGGCTTTTTTGAAAGTGCAAGGAATATTGTCTTCAATGATTGGAAGTACATAGGTCACCATATCGGTCATCCAACCGGGTTGCTTAGTAACCCTTTTTTCTTTTCTGATTGCAATTGGTTCTGACTGTTGTGAGGCCTCTTGAACTAGATCTTCATTCTCATCTAAACTCTCTTAAGGATCTTCTTTAGAGCTATCAACTGAAAGTTCTTTAGGATTGTTGACTGTTTGAATAGTCTTTGCTGGAGTCCCAAACTCCACCTGCATTGACTTTTTCAATGTTTCCTCATTCTCTTGAGGATTTGGCTACTTCAGCATTGTAGACTCATCAAAGGTAATGTCTCTTCTAGTGACAACTTTCTTTGATTCAGGGCACCAGAGTCTGTATTCCTTGATATCGTCACTAAAGCCCAAGAAAACGGCTTTCTTGGCTCTAGGATCCAACTTAGATTCTGTAACATGAAAATAAGCTGGACATCCGAAGATACGTAGCTGATCATAATCAGTAGCTGGAGCTCCTGACCATAACTCTATGGAAGTCTTACCATCTAGTGCTACAGCAGTAGTCTGTTGACAAAATGATGAGCATAGTTCAATTCCTCACCCTAAAATGCCTTGCTTAATCCTGAATTTGGCAGCATACACCGGACTTTCTCCACCAAAGTGCGGTTTATGCATTCTATAACTCCATTTTGTTGTGGCATTCCACTAACTGTGAAATGTTTCACTATTTCTTCATTCTGGCAAACCTTAAAGAAGAGATCTGATGTGTATTCACCGCCATTATCAGATCTGAGCTTTTTGATCTTCCTACCTGTCTGGATCTCAATCATGTTCTTCCACATAAGAAAGATGTCTAATACTCCATCTTTATGCTTCATTGTGTAAACCCATAATCTTCTTGAGAAATCATCAATGAACGACACAAACTAGTGTTTACCTCTTAAAGAAACATTTTTGGAAGGTCCCCAAACATTTGTGTGAACGTAGTCTAGAATCCCTTTGGTACGATGAATGGCAGTACCATGCTTGATTCTTGTTTGCGTGCCCAGTACATAATGCTCGTAGAACTTAAGCTTCCCTGTTTTGGCGCCTTTCAATAGGCCTTGCTTACCAACCCTTGTAAAGTCCTCTCACCGACATGCCCTAGGCACATGTGCCAAAGTCTGGAAGTGTTTGATACATCATATTCTGAGCTAGTGGAGACAACCACTCTTCTTGTGATTGTAGAGCCGTTTAGAAAATATAAATTTCCCTTTCAAATACCCTTCACTGTAACAAATGCTCCTAGTACCACTTTGAGAACTCCATATTCAACAGTTACTCTGTAACTTTTGGAGTCTAAAACTCCTACTGAGATGAGATTCTTTGTCAAATTCAGTACATACTGAACATCTTTATGAATTCTGACTGTTCCATCATGCATCTTCAACTGGATTGTTCCAATCCCTTTTGTTCGGCAAGCTTGGTTGTTGCCCATCAGCACAACTTTTCCATCGAACTCTCGTAAGCTCGAGAATCACTGCTTGTTAGGACACATGTGGTAGGAACATCTGGAATCTAGAATCCATTCATCAGAATGGCCAAATGACGAAATTGTGAAGGCTGATCCTTCACCATTATCTCCATCTCGTGCAACGTTCACTTTCCTCTTTTTTGTCTTTATTGGGACAATCTTTTGCCCAATGCCCCTTCTGGTGACAAGCAGCACACTCGTCTTTTGCAAGACGTCTTTTATCTGATGATCTCTCTCTGGATTTTGAGTGAGACTTTCCTCGCCCTGTATATCTTCTGTTATTTATCCTGTCTCTGATTGTTAATGCCTCTGATGTTGAGTCCCTGTTTGTAGACTTATCTTTCCTTCTGAACTCATTATTTACCAAGGTGTTTGAAATATCAATATACTTGATCTTTTCTTTACCACACAGTGAAGTGGTGGTGAGATGGTCATATGTGTCAGTCAAGGAATTTAACAATAACAGTGCTTTATCTTCATCATTGATTTGAACATCCAGGTTTTTCAAATTGGCAAGAATTTTATTGAAATTGTTCAGGTGTTCATTCATCAAAATACCTTTCTTGTAGTCGAAACAAAACAACCTCCTCTTCAAGTGGAGCCAGTTCTCAATGCTCTTTGTCATGAACTTGTCTTCCAATGCCTTCCAAAGCTCCTTTGCAGTATCATATCATGTGAAGGCGTGTTTCTTCTCTTTCGCAAGGCAAAGTCGGATGGAACTGCAGACTAGTAGATTCACTTTCTCCTATTCTATCTCGTCCAAGTCATCTGGCTTGTCTCATAGAGTGAAGTGCAGGTTCATCTGGACAAGCATATCTTTAACTTCACATCTCCACATGCCGAAGTTGTTTTTACCATTAAACTTCTTTACCTCAAACTTAGTGTGGGACACGGGGGTCTAATGCCTAGAGCTGCTTGCAGACTCAACTGATCTCCTCTCTGTAGATTTTGCCATTAAGACTACTCAAAAAAATCTCCACTACAAACAATAGCGGATGCTTGAAATTTCCAGAACACGGCAAATTCTAAGCTCCCAAAAAGCTTTACTGAAAATTCGAGTCCGAATCTCAAAAATAGAATTTGCGTTTGTGTCTAGAACAGTTGATTTATCTAGGAAAGCATTTTCTCCACCTCTCTAGAGACTTAAATGAAATTTCTCCAAATCCAGGAGCCAAATTATAATTTCCCAAAACTCCAGGGACCTAACTACAATTTATTGAAGTTTTAGGGGCTAAATTATAATTTTAACAAGATCAAGGATTGAAATATAATTTCCCAAACTTTTAGGGGCCTCCCTATAATTCCAAAATTTTCGACTGATTGGGGTGATAATGTGGCAGATGTGTTGACATGGCGATGACGTGGCGGGTGAGCTGTTGATGACGTGCCTCGACACGTGGCAATGACTTGACAGCCACGTGGTTCAAACGTGGCAGTGACTGGGGTGACACCTAGTCTTGATGTGACAGTGTTGCAAAAATAATTTGCAAGATATTGCACCAAGGATTTGAACCTTGGCCAAAGGAGAGCAATGCTCAACCTTAACCACTTAGGCAGACCTCCATTTTGACCGTTCTTTCTGGGTTTGCACTCCTCTCGTCAAGACGTACGTTGTGGTATTCTGAAAACCCGTTCGACAACTTCAAATTTTTCAGTTTACAGAAAAACGCTTTGTTTTTCGCACAACATTGCTCTGATACCAATTTGTTGTGCCTAGGAAGCAAAAAACAATCACACACAAGCACACAAGCAAGAACACAAAGATTTACATGGTTCCGCAAATTGCCTACGTACACGGGTAGCGGATTTCACTATATGGAGAGAAATACAAAATTACAACAGTGGAGGAGGAGGAGACACTACTCTTACTCAATTCACACTCGCTCACTTAGTTGCTTACACTTTACTTACACTTTTTGATTTCACCCCACCACACTCCTCCCATTCACTATCCATTTATAGATGCAATGGGAGAGCCAAAGTCTTAAACAAGCCACAGACAACATTTATGGCAGCCGATAACATTTATGGTAGCCACCAACAAGATCAGCTACCTTACCATGAGTAGCTCGGCTGAATCTCTAGCCCAAATCTTTAGCTTCTTCATTTATTTTCAATCAGCAACTATTGTTGACAAAGTGAATCAGAGCCAAATCTTCAACACTTTTGTCAAATTAAAATCCAATAATGTAAATATAGAAGATGAAAATAGGTTTATAAGCTGTAATTAAAAGTTACATCATACATTTATCACATGCTCTTAAAATAATAATGATAAAAAACCTATAATCACCCATTCAAATAGCACCAAATGGGCTGATGCGTTTTATTCTCTTCTCTTTGCGTCTACAAGAAAGCAGGGGAGGATAAATAAAAAAATTGCTGAAAGTGTTTTTGGAATGGGTTTTTGCAAGATGTATCTACATGAGTGGTGATCATCCACTTAACAAAATCAGAGCAATTACTTGGGAAGACGATGAAGGAAACATTTCTTCTGTTTTGTTTCAAGTGGATTTGTTCACTAGACTTCGTAGCATTCCACGAACTGATAGTTCTGCAAATTGGGCAGGTGTCACCACCGTCGACGGAGAATAGAAAACAAAAAACTTTAGACTCTATTTGAATTTAAGATTTGGAGAGAGACTTGTGAAAAAAGAAAACATAAGAGAAAAATGACAAAAAGATACAAATAATTTGTACTGTTTTGATTGTCTTCTGCTTTTATTTTCAAAATTTTGGATATGAACATGATGAAATGTTTGTCACAATTGTGTATTTAAATTGTTTGTTTATATTTTCCTGCAAATCTTTTTTTGTTTGTTTGTTTTGGAAGTACTACTACAAAAAAAGTGGACTGATAACAAAATTGTTTCAAAACGGTTTTTGACAACACTTTTGCTCAGTCAATTGCTTTCTCTCCCCAGAAAAACACAACCAATTGGTCCAATGCTAATTATGTTTTTTACTAGTTTTTTTTTTTTTTACTACGAGACACAATGTAGTGAATTGTGCCTTTGTTAGTAGTGGTAGAGTGATGACGACACGACGAGATTAATTGAAATACGTACAGAATTAGGAAGTTTTTTATGCAGTGCATATGAGACACAATGCAATGAAATATGTAAAAAGTGGGCTGTTATTTTGTACAGTGCATGTTGTTGGGGATCGAGGATCACGCCCAAGACCTTCTAGAAATCATACCAATCAGAAAAACATACACACCCAAGGAGACACCATATTTAACGTGGTTTGGCGTCAATACCTACGTCTATGGGAGAGTAACTAGTTATCACTATAACAATGGAGAGATTACAATAGAGGAGGAGCTCACACTATCCTCACTCACCCACTCACCCATCTTCCTTTCTTACACCGAGAGAGACGGTCTCTTTGCTTCACATCTCTCACTCTCTCTTGGTTTTCTCTCACTCTCAACTCTCCTCTCAGCCTTTCTATTTATACACCAAGATGGAGGAAGCTGGAGAGCTTGGCTGGCACAACACATGGCTAGCTCCTTTCACATGAAAAAAGATCACCCCTCACATGGGGTGATATCTAACAAATCACCCCCTTAACCAATGTGAGGTGATCTAGTGCACACATTGTTGCTAATCTTGTCACGCCCAAATTTCAGCATAGTCTGCATCTCCTCACTTAGACATTTGCATCTTCTTGAAGCTAGAGATAACACACCAGAGATACAAGAGGAGGAGGGAATCCTACATCCTTAACTCAACTTACACCACTCTCTGATATGGAGAAAGCCTCTGCTCCTATCTCTCACAGATCTCTTCCACGCTTCCTGTCTCGGATGTCTTCACTTACTATGCTTGAATTTGCATAACCAAGGTATCTGACACCCCCTGATTGGATGCCCTGCACCCCCTACCAAGGATGCCATTGACTGACATGCATCACCTTGCACGACCAGTCATTGGAGTAACAGAAAACTCGTTGTTTGTTCCATTAACGTCCTCGATTTTCTTTGCTCGGAGCCTTTCATTTGAACTATCAACATTTGCCCTTTGCACTTCTGAACAACCTCCTAGCATTCCCATATGCTTGTCGTTTGTGCCTTTGCAATCCTTGATTTGTTGTTCAGTAGATTGATGGTTGACAGTAGCTTCATCTGTCAAAGCATCGTCAGCTATGCAATTCCTTGCATAGTGCTCGTATCCATGGCTTCTGGTCTCCCTGCATTGAGCTCACCCGAGAGATCTGCATCAACTCTATCCTCCACTGCCATGGAACTAAAGAAACCACCATAGAGAAAAGAGACTTGCCACACCTTGGCGTGCACTCTTGCGTCTTATTTGTCTCAATTTCTTTGTCTAGAAGTTCCTTTGAACTCTCAACAACCCGTTGCTACACACTCTTCATGTCACGCCCCACATTTTATTACTCGAATAACATTACCAAATCCCTTATATTAATTCCATTTAATTGAGGATAAACAATAATAAACAATATCATTCTCTCACGACAACAATGATGATATAAATATGACAAGGTATTATGCCCTTAGGTTTACATTGAATAGCAATAAATACAACAAAAGGGATTTACCCTTGTACAACACATGGCACTCGGTCTACAAATAAAGGGCCCCGTGGCCAACAATTAAAAGACTTCAAGTAATAAACGATCCCTCTAGTCTTGCACCTGAAAAAGTTAATCAACACATGGGATGAGCACTAAGCCTAGTAGGGATCCCAAAGATCCTAATCAATCACAACACATAGATAAAAATGATCATAAATGCATCAAGTCATACCATATACATAATGTGACATTTATTATGAAAAGTATACACATATAACTGTGTGTTTCTCAAAACGTTCCTCTTGACACTTTTCAACATGAAAACCAATTATTCTCTTTCACATTCCCATCATTTTTTTTAAAAGAAAATATTTGAAACCTCATTCTTTCTTTGATAAACCTTCTCACTTTAACAAAAAGGAACCTCATTTAAACAACCGTTCTGAAAATATAACTCCATATGCAATTTATGGTTCTTAACCCATCTCTCAATATTCCATAACCATTCACCTCCCTTTATATCCCAATACAGATATCTACAACCTTCCCTAACCATATACCCAAGGATAAAAGACCGGTAAGAAACTGTTAACACATATACACCTTCTGACTAAATAATCAAAGTAATACATACTCCCAATTTCATTTTCTTGATGTGAATAACCGAAAATACATAAATATAAAACAAAAGGAGATAACAGGAACAACACATGCTTCCAATTCCATCTCCATCGGCCTACAGCACGGATGGCAGATCCACAACACTAGAACCATATATCTATATATACAAAATGAGGTAACAGAAGTAATACATGCTACCAATTCCATCTCCACTGGCCTACAGCACGGATGGCAGATCCACAATACAAATAACACATTACACTTTACCGGCTTCACCTGGAAGGAGGTGCTCCTCAAGTCATACTTTACTGGGTGCGAACCGGAAGGGAATGAAGAACTTATATAACGCGCCATGCTTTGCCAGCTATGATACGGTGGGAGACGGACCCCCTTTTCACACTTTATCGAGCGCAAACCAGAAGGGATGAGGAAACCTCGGTCAAGGCGCCACGCTTTGCCGGCTATGATACTGTGGGTAACGGACCCCTAAACATCATCACAATCTAAAAGCATAACAAACAAATCAACGGAATACTACATGGGTGTAATACATACACCTAGTTGAATTATCTTCATAATAGTCACAAATCCATTAATTGCATTAAAGTTATTTCTTTTTTTTAAAAAAAAATATACACCGCGAACCACAGTTTCACACGGGTTTTCCTTTAATTTCAAATGTTCCCAAAAGACTTCATTGGGTACTAAGACATAACTAGTCAATATTCGTTTCTCAATTGTAACAACATTTACAAGCGTTCCAGTTACCCCTTTTTCTTAACAACATAATTCACAGCTTAACAATAGAATCATCCATTCACAATGTTCCTTTATCAATGACAATACAATGTGTTACATCGCATAACCCATTCTACCATAATACTCATAGGCCATCTCTAGCAACAAGCAATGCCATCTTCCACCAATGGCTAAGGTCAAAACTCTAGACATCAATCATATATTCAGAAATAATAAATATGCCCATAAGAAATTCTATCATCCCGTTTATCGTAAACCCTTCAAGGTTTATAAAAATAACTTGTTCATTTTATTTTGAAAATCAAACTTTATTTCCCCAAATCCCAACAAGCACCACAATGGCCACATCCACCAACATAAACCCAAACACCTCAATCATTCATAAACTACCATATCACAACCCCATTTCTATTCAACATTAAACTTCTCTTTGACATTCCAAGTTAATAAACGATATACCAAACCTTTCCAATTTACATTCTAAACATGATTTGTAACCCACAATCAATTATATATAAACCCATACACTCACTATTTTAAACCCAAATCCACCCATATGCTTTTTAAGATAATCAACCACCAACTGTGGTTTTTAACATAATGAAAATACCACAAGTCTATCTATAAGGAAGTATTGAGGAGAAGCTCAAGAATCCCTACCTCTTGAAGCGAAAAGGAAAAAAGTCAAAAATCCACCGGTGACGAAACCATAATCCACTCATATCAAAATGGAGCCCTTGCGACCCTCTATGTTTTGATATATAGGACTAGGGGCAGAAAAAGGGTGTAACTAGATGAAATCCAAGCTTTAAGGTCCAAGAAACCCTAACAATGGCGTAAAAGGAGAGAGAGAAAAGAGAGAAAAGTAAAATGTGACTTTTTCGGCGTGCTGCGACCTTATAAAGACGCACGGTCCACTCGAGCGTGGAAACTGACGTTTGAGTGCTAGACATGTAACACCCTACTCCCGGGTCGTTAAATACACTAAAATAGCCTAAAAAAAAACTATATATATATATACAAGTTTTGCTCCCAAAAATAATAACTACAAAATTGTCTCCAAATTGTACTGTATTCTCCAAAATATTCTATAGTACATTTATCTCCGAAATAAACAATATTACAACTATCTCCAAATTTAATAATTATAGTGGTGGGTCCCAAATCTCTATATTAATAAATCTTTCTAATCTCAATTTTGATCTCCACAAAAATCTGCTCCGCACCTGAAAAATAAATTAATTCAGGAAGTATACAATACGACGGGAATACAAGGCTCAGATATATAATAAATTAACAGGAATCCAACAATTTATGACATTATATCAACGATACGATAATCAAGCAATTTATCAAATTGCACAACAAATCAACCATAATTTATCTAGGACCAAATACCCAGTCCTACTTAATACATGACCAGTGAATAAATTCATTTATTCACCCACCTCACCCAAGCTCCATGCTTATTTGGACATATTGGTGTAAACAATTAACAAGATTCACTCGATCCATGTACGGAGTATTTCCATATCATTCAGTCAAACAAATCACCATTTTAACACATAAATATTTGTAGAGAATTTTACCAAATGATCAGAATATCAATGATTCGACAACAAATGATTTTACAAAATCTATTAATAACCACAATAATCAAGTGGATTACAAATTAAGGATAATTAAAAATAGAGAACTCTTTGGAAAGAGATTTAAATAGAGCATATTGTATACAACCCGAATTTACCTCAAAATAATTAATTCCATTACCATAAATATGAAATTGATCCATGGATCTCCAAAAATAATTTTGATCTCTTGTAAAATTACTAACTCTCATTTTAAATATTCCC